TGCTTCTAGGTCTTCCTCTTTTTCTAGTTTCCCGAAGGTCTGGCCATGACGTCAACCGAGAAGTCCATCTATCGTCACTCATTTTTGCCACTTGACACGTCACAGATGTAACGGTCATTTTTACTTTTATTAAGTCTGTTTTTACTACAGCAAATACTGAACGACAAGTGTATAAATTATTTGTTTTTCACATCTATATTTTTTATTGAACTATTCATAACTAAAGAATGTATGTATGCTTCTAAACTGTAAATGGGGATAATCTATGGTTACTGACCTTCGCAGAGCTTAAATTAAACGAAGTATGGTTACCCGAAGTATGGTTATGGGAAGCCACGGTTAAATTAGACGGTGCCTTGGCTTTGCTGGGGTAATTTTGAAGCTTACGAGTACTATTAGTCACATAATCCCTTTTTACAAGGGCTATTTGTAGGCAGACGAGCATACGGCCCGCCTGATGGTGAGTGGTTGCATCGCCCATGGACTTCAGCAATGCCAGGGGCAGAGCCAAGCCGCTTCCTACCGAAACTTTTTATATTAAACTAATTAACTGACTCCCTCCCTTGCAAAGTAATCGACGTAAGTGGTCAATTTTCTTTACCTTTAGCAGATACGAATGCCAAAGCTTTCAACGCTATGGGTATTAAAAGACTCTTCGCAGCCAACAACCCCAAAATTACCGGCATCACATACTTTTTGTGCATCTTATACTTTCCCCTCTTTCTATTCCTTTTTCCTTTCTTCAAAACTTTGAATACGCATTTCTTTCCTTTGCCGCGTCTTTTACGTTTATGTTCTTTTGTTTTTTCTTTTTCTATCTTCTTGCTTGCATGTCTATCTTTTTTTAGTTCTTTTGGTGTATTTAAGTCTTCTGTAACTGTATAAGCTTTTAACTTTGTGTGTTAATAAGATAAATTGTTAGATGTATATGATTTAAAATTTAAGTGTTGTAAATTTGCGCATGTAAGTACCGCTTATTAGCTTTCAGCTTTTCTGAAACTCATGAAATTGACGTAGCATGATCTGTGTTTATAAGATCACGCTGGGCAGTTGGATATTGTTAACAACATTGGCAACGGATTCTTTTTATTCCAAAGTGTGTAGTAATAATATTAGCATAGTAGTACAATACTGTAATATGACATACGGTTCAGTTCACATAAATACGTTGACAGCTTTGTATTATAGTGGCAATTGTGGATCATGCAGACATGGTGCCACCCGCTTATGCTACGAAAATGTTACGCATTGCAGTTTCAATTTTATTGCACCTGATTTTATGGTTGAAATTTTTGACGTCAAAAGGTTTTAGGCTTTGTATTGTTTGAAATGTCTTTAATTCCACACTATTTATGTATATCGCAAACTTATATGGCTTGTCATTTGGACAGGCAAGATTATTGTTGTTAGAATGTAATTGAGGTTTTGTCTTCATCGATGATATTTATAACGTATTCGGAAATAAATTATATCCCTAGTCAATGTTAGTATTTGACTAATCTGAACCGCTCTTAAGGTAGCGCAGGCAAAATCGTGTTCAGAAGCATATTGACCACTGATAGTAATGAAGAACTATCCGTCAATTGGGAGATATTGTATATGTAAGTTATTACGAATTATATTAATTTAAATTCTAAGTCTAGAGTAGGATGGGACTTAATCAAACTCCTTACCTTGAAGCGATCTTGGAGCAAATTTGCCTTGAGTGAATAGCCAGCCATAAGGGTCCGTGACATTAAATCTGTTTGCGTAGTCATCTTGATTTTTCGGAGCGAATTCAAATATAGTTTCAGTTTTAACAATACTGTAATTGTTGTTGTCCAATATCAGGCCTCGGGAGACTGGCAGCATTTTGGTGATGTTACAAGCATCACTTTCCTGAATTATGGAATTATGGAAGAATTATTTTAACGAATGTGTTAACCTTATAGTAAGTAATTTTTCAGCAAAATCAAAGCACTTTCAAAATAAAGATAAGACCTAGAATCTAAATTAGGAACTAGACCTAACCTAAATATGACCACATAACTACGTATGAGTTCTTCTGTATTTCAAATAACTAGAAAATAAACTTTAAATTGGATTTACTCACCAATAGTTACAGTATTGGATGTCCCATCAATGTTTCTGACTCTAATCTTTCCACTGCTGTTTGAGTCAATACCGAACTCAAACTCCTAACGGTACTGAATGCAAAATGACATGTTTAACTTATACGACACTTTTATATGGAGAGAACGAGTTCAAAGTGCTCTATGAAGCGTTGAATGGCAGGCCGTAGTGACCATTTCATGCTAATTGCTCATAGCGGTCAATTAACCTGGGTCTAAAGAAAGTGGGGTTCAATTGATTGAGCATTTACACTAATATTCTAATTTCACTTTCTTGAAATCGTCGTTGATAGAGTTTTGATAGAAAGGCCTAGGGGTAGAGATCCCAAACAATGGTCGGACCAAATAGCGGAGGAACTGGGGATACCTGTCAGCGACGCACTCCACCAGGCTACAAAACGAGATCGATGGAGACAGCTGGTTGACGGAATCAGACGGAGTCACGATCCTCAGCAGTGAGGGACCAATCGAAAAGAGAGAGAGAGAGAGAGAGAGAGTTTTTCATCCTGCCTTTAGCCATACGAATATTATAAATGCTAAAGTGTGTTTCTTTGTTTGTTCTTTTGTCACATCGAAATCAAGCAATTGATTGACACGATTTTTTAGAGATAGGATTAGGTTAGGATAGTAAAAGAGGCTACCTTTTATACCTGAAAAATATCTCATTCTCACGGGGAACTACATTAAACATGCTGGTTACACCGCGGGTAACAACTAGATTACTATAAAATTTAAATGTTTGTTATGAAGTATTTATATTTTAGCAATGCTGATACACTGAGAGTGAGTTTATTGAAAAAAATCATGCATCATTGCGAAATGTGTTCTGTCCTATGCGGCTTCTTCAGTAATCAACTTCAAATTAATGTACAAACCCAGTATGTGATAATCAAATGTTGACTATGGAAAATGATATTGCGGCCGATCTCGTTGAAAGTGCTCACTACCGGTCATGGTATTTGGCAATATCTGAAAGTTCTATAGATAGAGTGATACCACGCACCCTGGTTGACAGATTGACAGGTTGGTTATTGAAAATTCAATAGTATTTTTTTGATATAGTAGGATGGCTTGTACCAATAACTGTTGATTGATTTTCATTTTTATAGCTAAGAGAGAGTGTACCTTTACCTCTTTCGTCTCTTCAAAGGATTTGATTTTAACGTTGACAGCCGTCCGCGTGAAGGAAAGACTGCTTGATGAAGATCCGTGTAAAGCGTAAGATCAGTTTGCTCCAGCATTAGGACTTCGTAGCTAAGACATTTCGAAGCTATTGTATGCGTTGAGAATGATTCAAAAGTACTTGAACTTGGAACTTGGGTACCTTACGAAGCCAATATTCACGCTGCAAAGGTTATGTTGGGTATTTGGTGGGACCAGGCGGCGCTATATATTACGAGCCATTGGAACGGAACAAAACAATCACTAGGGAATGGTATTTAACTCAATTAATGTGATTAATTCTTCGACAGATTTTCTGGCAAAGTTCAGCCAACGTTGCAAAAACCCGTTAAAATCTACTTAGAAACGCCCAAATAAGACACCTACCCGTTGTATTTCCTATTGCGTTCCACCAATTATTGTTTATTCCGTTTGATGGCCAATAGTCTGTCTGACCAGCAGTTCTGCTCATAAAAACGCATTGAAGTCGTCACAGCCTAAAAGGTGCTGGGTGCACTCATCTAAATAATTCAAAAAACGTATTAAAGAATGGCCTAATTTATTGATAGCCTCAAAGGGCATCAAAAGCCTCAACACTTTAGGTTACATATTATGTATATGTTTACATTTAGATAATATCGAGGGGTGAAAGGCTATTTGGTTTAAGCGACATCTAGGGTGATATTGAGTTATATACATATACGGAATCAGCGAATTTTTCTCCGTCGAATGATGCCGGATTTATTAAAATCAGAGCACTTTTTTGGCGTTTGAAACAATACTATTTTTGGGTTGTTTCCAAAGTGGCAGTGTATTATCCAACGTTGATTTTGAATATNAATTCGCCTGTCAGTCATTTTAATCTAAATTGGTAGTTGAGATAAATAGCTTGCTACTATTAATTTTGGGCTAAGTCACTTCATGCTTTTTGGCTTACTCTGAAAATATATTGCAGCGTCGCTTATTTTTTTTCCCCTGTAGCCAATTGTGGTTATGAAGTCACTTAAATCTTTATTCCATACTCTGAAAAATAAGGGCTTAAGGCAATTTGTATTAAGCGACGTTTATCTTTGTAATTAAAGGTCCGTTTTATTCGGTATTAGCATCAATAACTTGATGTTTTTAATTGAATTTCAATTAAGTTTACTCCATTCAAATTGCTGAAGAAGTTTTTTTGTTATGATTTTTTTTCCAAAATTTTAAACTTTAAATGGCTCTCCTGTAAAGTTGCAAAAATGTCGCTTAAACCAAATAGCCTTTCACCCCTCGATATTATTTATTTTGAGTCCAAATTGTTTCAAAAATTAGAGGCTGACAAAAAATTAATTAAAGTATTTAGATTGTTAAAGTTAAAGACTAATGCGTCAGAGAAATAAAAGGCAAAACAATAAAAGCATTCCCTTTATATTTTCTGATAATCTATCAATTCACTTCAGTGGTAACTTACTTATATCATTCTCATTAACTTACAATAAATAACTTACACTTAATGTACATATGAAATATGAAATCTAATATTTACAACAGCGCGAGCACTTAAATCTTAATAATTTTGAAGTTCAAACCACAAAACACGAATCATTTCCAAAAAAGAAAGAGAACTAATTATCTGGATGTGACTTCAAAAACGAATCACTTAAGTGTATCTTAGTTTTTAAATTCGAAATTCACTCATCTTAAATTATGTATGGATGGCAACTCTGAGCGTCGACTTTGTTTATTACATTTTTAATAGTCTCCTTTCTGTAGGCCCATAACGGCTGCAAATAGAGCAAAGAAGAACCCAGCTAGCCCTGTAGCTCCTACCAGTAATACCAGACCACCGATCATGACCGGGACTAGAGTGAAATATTTCATCTTGTAAGCTAAGAGTAGGGGTAGCATGTACTTCTTCAATTTCTTCGTTTTTAGCTTTTTTTTCTTTTTGTTCTTTGATTTCAGTTCTGTATCTCCTTCTAAGCCTTCAGCTTCATATTCGCCGTTTTCGTCATCTTCTTCATCTTCATCCTCTTCAACGCCAAAGTAATCTGAAATGGAAAAATATTTTAATTTTTTAATTACATTTTAGAGATATGTAGCAAAGCTGATAAAATCGGACTTTTTGGTAGCTGTATATTAAAAAACCCAATAGTCAACCCAATAAATAGTCTTTGAAAGCAGATACTCTCTGTTTTGCAGTTATGGCTTCAATACAACTGCAGTAATTCGTAAATGACATTTACACTACGAAAACCATTTTTTTTACATCACAGCTCTTAGGCACGGACCAGCCCAATGATGTGATTCACTATCATCAGTCTATAGACATTAATTGTTGGCTTTCCCTTAGGTTCGCCAAAATAACCGATCCTACGCTGTTCGGATCCAGGGGATTTTTTAAATTGGCTTTGTAGGCATGCCAGCATACAGTCCACTTCATGGGAAATAGTCACCATTGCCCATGGTCATCAACAGTGTCAGAGGTACAGCCAAGCCGTTGCCTCCTGCCAGATTCCCCCGACCTTCAACAACCGTCGGCCTATTAGATGTTATTCTAGAGGCTTCAAGAAAAAAGCTAGAAGCGATTGTGTACGATTTGAAACAACAATCCAAATTTAAGTTTTTTCATAATCAAGTACAGATTTAAACTTGCGTTATCTAACTTCACTGCTCAATCTCATTTGAAGTGAAGAATATCCACTTGTCAAAATATCATCTTCAGTTAATATCAGCTTCAAGGGTAAAAAGCTGCCTGGAGGGCTGTTTACTGATAGTAGGACGTCTTGAGAGGCCGCGCGGGTAGGTACCACCACCCCGCGTATTTCTGCCGTGAAGCAGTAATGCGTTTCGGTCTGAAGGGTGGGGCAGCCGTTGCAACTATACTAGAGACCTTAGAACTTATATCTCAAGGTGGGTGGCGCATTTACGTTGTAGATGTCTATGGGCTCCAGTAACCACTTAACACCAGGTGGGCTGTGAGCTCGTCCACCCAACTAAGCAATAAAAAAATATATAATAAATACTTATTTATGTCTCTAAATGAGTAGTCTATACTTACTCCGGATTCGGTAGCTAGTTCGAATCAAGGGTACCACGAGATTTTATAAATACTTCTTCGCCAGAAAATATATCTTTTTTTAAACAATAAATCCATTATATCAATGTAAATTTCTGATTCTCATAATTGCGTACTCTCAGATAATCTTGAACGTAATAATTACGATATTAAAAAAAAAACTTTGACAATAACAATAGCCACTCTACCGTGCATACTAATTGTACCAATTATTAGAAAGCAATACTATAATTAGATATATCATACACTGCGTGCTAGATAAATAACAATCCAATCTTGATACGCACTACAAGTGTAATGGATAATCTCCAATAAGAAAATGCACAGAAATATCTTCAATGAAAGTACATAGTTGTAAAAACGGATAGCAATTTTTATACTTTTAGTTCTTTGTCTATTTTACGCTTATTAAACTTGAGATATAGGAATTTTAATATGAAGGGAAATCATCTAAAAATTACAATGAAGTATTTCTTTAAATTTACTCGTGACTAAAGTTGATACAGTTCGGTGGACACTTTGAAAGAAAAGTATTACTTTTTCAATTAGTTTTCTTGATTAAATTACAAAAAGCAGCTGAAAATTGAAAGTGAAAACTGAAAGTCAGTGGAAGAAATGTTCTTTACATTAATACAATGTTGATAAGCCAAAACGAATGTAATGATCCAAACTGAAAAAGGAAATGATTTGGATTTTGTATTCCATTAATTTTAAAAATAGTTCAATGAACATTCCAAATGAAACTTGAAGAATTGACGACAAATAGTAGAAGTCATCGAATTAACAACTATCTCATTGAAGGAAGCACTCGCTGACAACTTCCAAATAACCCTTAAGCCGTGACGGTCTGATGATAGATATTTGAAACAGCGGAAAAGATTGGTAACATTCAGAATTCCGGTGAGAGTGGTAACGGAGGATAATGAGGGGGTTTGTAGAAATGTTTCCAGTCATTGACTTTGGATATTGTATTAAAGGCGATATGATTTTGAAACGGTAAAATGATGAACAACAGTTAATGCATGAGTAAGAGAAAAGTACTGAGGCAAAATAACAACGAAAATAATGTTAAAAAATCAGTCGTCCTTAACGCAATTATCAATATCAGTACAGAGCCTATAGGTGAAAGTATTTTTAAACATACTTCATATAACTATAAATTTCTGAAAAATGATGGTACGCCCCTATCTCTCGTGCTCCATCTGGAGACCAAGTGGACCTTTGAACCCCAATGTGCCATTTTGAAATAAAGTGTCTTGTTAAATGTTATAGGAATATGTAGTAAACTAATCTTAAAAAGCCAAAAAGACAGGTTTCAGGGAGTTCACAGTATGCTCACTATGCCGTGAAAATCATTTAATTTCTATGAACAAATCATTATTTCAGTTTAAGTCTAGACATTGCTAAACGGACTTATGCCGCCCCTCCCCCAAAGCTGTCAAAAGATAAAAAATGTTTGAATTGAAAATTTAAATATTTTTTCTTGTAAACTACACAAACTCTTTAAGGGTAACGACGTCTAAGTCATATTCCCAAAGTAGCCCTATAATACTATTAAATAATGCCTAATAATTAACTAGCATGCGTTAAAGTTACTGACCCGAAATTGATCTCCTTGAAGCTGTAGGCTCCGAGAATCCTTCAGGTTTCTCGATAATAGGTTCTTCATTCACATCCAAAGATCTCTTCTGAAATTCCTCATTCCTTATCAAAGGTATCGTTTGGGGTTGGAAGGGCCCCGCAGGTCCAAAGATACCATTGGAATTCCCACTTTTCTCTGTGGCAATCGGCACATAATCACCAGGGAAAAGTACTTCAGATTTATAATTCTTCACATTATCCTGTGAATAGTAGGCGTTCCTCTCAATTTGTGGTTCCTCCTTCTTCAGCGGTATAGCTCTGGGTCTGAAAGCGTATTTCCTGTTCTGAGTCTTCGGTCTGCTGTAGCTCGATGGTTGGATGACTATAGAAGCACTGGTCACGTTCACGACCGCCGAGCCCGCACCATCCGACGCTCCGCTCATGGACCAAAGCTTGGTCAATCTGTTCTCATAATCGTTATCAGCGGTTGACATAACAATAAAACATAACACAAACTGCCACTGCAACTTGAACTCCATCTTGATAATGTCCACGTTAATTTGATTGAAATGACTTCACTTTCAACATAAGTGCATCGACACGTTTATTGCACCATTTTTCTGCAAGCAGTCGCGCAAAACTGAATCACTATCGTTCGTTCGTGTTATATTTATACATGTAAGTATAAAGTTACATTTTCCCGGCTATTCACGGTCGGACGGTCCCCTTGGCTTCCTCAGCTGCGATTCCAATACACAAAAGCAGCCGAACTGTTGTGTCTTCGCGTGTTGTCGTCGCGGCCACCACGCGCCGCTTCTTCCGCTAATAGTTCCTTGATATTAATCCACTTTTCTCCTATAGATTGGGGGTAATTTGTCTCATAGTCAACGTCTCATTATACTTATTTTCATGTCATATTGTTTCTTATTGGACTGTTTGAATTTTGATGACGAGTCAAAATGAGATTCACCACCGAAATGTTTCTACAAAATATAAAAGATTTTTGAAAAGTTAGTTTCTTTGCCGTGATCTATCTTCGAGTGTACTTCGCCAAGAGTCAGGAAGGAAACTACGCGAGACACTTCAATCGTCCATCATCTGAGGCGATGCCTTGAACCGCTACAAATAGGCGAGAGCGATCACTGGAACGGCGTTCATTACAAACTTGCCTACTTTATTTTTAACATCTGTCACCATTGAATAAATGAAGACTTTAATAGAGGTATTTTTTGTTAATCCGTACTAGGCAACTAGGTCAAACTCTTAGGCTAAGTTATCAGTGAAATATATTGTTTGCATCCGTTTAGTTGCAGTGTACATAGTGTCTAACAAAGATGGTTATGTATTTAATGCTAACTAACGCTGAGATGAGGTGTTAATACATTAAGCTTAATATTTTTAGTGTTTTAAAGTGTTTAAATTTTTAGTAAACATTTCCAGGATCCATAAGATAGAGAAAATTCAATTTTATTTATATATTCTTTAGATAAGTGGACGAGCTCATGGCCCACCTAGTGTTGAGTGGTAAACGGAGCCAATAGACATCTACAACGTAAATGCCACCACCCACCTCGAGACATGAGTTGTAAGGTCTCACTTTTAACAGTACACGACTGCTCCGCCCTTCAAACCGAAACGCATTACTTCTCCGCGGCAAAAATAGGCAGAGTGGTCGTACCTACCCGTGCGGACTCACAAGACGTCCTACCATCAGTAAATAGTCTATTTGGAACTTTTGATTGTGTATGGAGTAGCTTTTAAGCCGGTCTTAAATTAACTTTTAAGTTAGTTTTAGGAGGAGGAGATTTTCTAACAGCTGCTTCGAGAATGTATCTACTGCTGGATAAGAAATCACGATCCGCTGAGCAGATTTGGCGAGCAAGTCAGCGGGCTGATGTCATGAATCGGGGTCCCTATGCCAGCTCCTATTGCTAAAGCTGCAGGCATCTAATGGTCGAGTTAGTGGATGGAGTGGCTTTGTAAAGATGTGTCTAGGGCAGTGGTGGGCAAACATTTTTAATGGCGGGCCGCAAAGCTTAAGAAATTTGAGAGGAAGGCCAGAATTATAGAAAAAATGCATTTTGTATTAAAGCTTTTTAATAAACAAAATACCTTTTACTATTACGCCTTGTTAGGCGTGTGAGACGTGGGGCGTGTGATAGATACTAATACCTGTGACAGACTGCCGAGATAATTATAATGATGGCAAGTTAATTATGAGGTAATGAAAGCTCAAAACACCCTTGACGAATTGGAGCTTTTATTAAAAATTCGAAGATTTTCAATTGTAAACGTCAGATTTTATTTTACGCGCCAAAATGCTGACTAGAATATTTAGGATGGATGGACTCTTGGCGGGCCGGATTAAATACTTCCGCGGGCCGGAGTTGGCCCGCGGGCCGTACTTTGCCCATTACCGGTCTAGGGCGTTGTTGGTAACACATGCTATTCTCCCGAGTCACAATATCCAGATGTTCGTTGAGTTGCTGCCACATTGTACATAATCTGTTAGCCATTTATGGCTATTATTCTGCCACTTCGTCATTCAGTTTTTTCTAATAACATTTCTAAGTTGAACGAAATATGTATAAGTTATATCGGAAACATTTCGCATTGATTGTAACGTCACGTGATAGCGCGTGCACAGTGAAAATGAGGAAGCACGTGCGTAATTGCGTTAATTGGCATCATTTAGAGTACCGTCATTTTAAATGTGATAATATTTTAACATTACAACGCGAACAATTTTTTTTAACTTTTTTATTGCATATATGGTTGGACAGCTCACAGTCCACCTGATGATAAGTGGTTATCGGTGCCCATAGACATCTACAACGTAAATGGCGCCACCCACCTTTTTATTTAATTGCTTTGGTAGGTGGAGGACGAGGTCACAGCCCACCTGGTGTTAAGTGGTTACTGGAGCCTATAGACATCTACAACGTAAATGCGCCACACACCTTTAGATATAGTTCTAAGGCCTCAGTATAGTCACAACGGCTGCCCCACCCTTCAAACCGAAACGCATTACTGCTTCACGGCAGAAACAGGTGGGGCGGTGGAACCTACCCGTGCGGACTCGCAAGAGGTCCTACCACCAGTAATTACGCAAATTATAATTTTGCGGGTTTGATTTTTATTACACAATGTTATTCCTTCACCGTAGAATTCAATCGTGGAATTCAATCCTTCACCGTGGAATTCAAATTTGTTAAGTACGTATTTCATTAGAAAAATTGGTACCCGCCTGCGGGATTCGAACACCGGTGCATCGCTCGATACGAATGCACCGGACGTCTTATCTTTTAGGCCACGACGACTTCAAAATCCCTTGAGATATGACTTCTAAGGTCTTAGTATAGTTACGGCTTTTTTTTTCGGGCTGGGGGCCGAACCTCCTTCGAGGTCCCCGCGCATAAGGATAATTACAACGGCTGTCCAAACCGAACTGCTTTACGGCAGACAAAGGCAGGGTGGTGGTACCAACCTGTGCGGACTCACAAGAGGTCCTACCACCAGGTGAATCGAATAGAATTGTAATAATTATTTTTATTATTACTTAAATGCAAAAAATAAGTATTTAAAATACTGTGGCTTCAAAGTAATGTCATAGTAGTGAAAATCTATAAAAAATGTCAAACATCACATCTGACGCATAGATGGAGTTCAGTGACAAACGCACGAACAAAATGAAAAATGTAATGTAATATTCAAACATGAAACTTTTTTTCTACAAATAAATGTTTAACAGATAATATGAGTTCCTTAATCCTTCCATCAACTTCTTATTTCTCACGATCGTTTAGCAGCCAGTATCGGTTAGGAGAACAAATATATATGTGTTAAAAACAGGTATTACAAGACACTAAGTACATTTTATATTTTGCAACTGGAACCTTCGCCTACCTCGTCTAAGATGTATTCCCGCTCTCGCTTTATAAATTTTGGCAGAGTGTATATTTGTTTTAAGACTGGAATACCGTGGATTTTGTTCCAAAGCCAAACGGTATGTAGCAAAAAGGGCGAAAGATTTGTAGAGAACACTTCGAAAAATGTTCCTCCGAGCCCTACTAGCTTTCTGTAACTAGGTATTGATTTTGCAGTCGGCAGTGAATTTTACAGAGAAGATATGCCTTTTGTTGACAGCTTTACCATAATAAGTGATAGAAAAACCTTTGCTACTCTGGTTGACTAATAACTTAGGTATATCTAATATTAGTGAAGTAATAACTGAAATGTACGGAACTCTAGCGTTCTTTAATATTACTCTTTATATGTCTTTGTCATTAGTTTTTGTATGCTTGGGAATTTTAATTATCGCTTCAGCTTTTTTCAATATTTATGTCCACGTTATTTTAGTATTGTGGTTAGTAGAATTCCGATAGTTGAGGCCTAGGGCATTGAGGTTGGTAAATTAATTGATCGTTGGACGATGTTTTTGTGGCAATTAATTTCCGTTGACCTGATTTACTTAGTTTTGTTGATACATTAAACACTTAGTGCATATGTATATGCGTACGATCTGTCGTCCTCCTCTCATTCAAAAATGTTTCACCGGTCGGCAGGAAGGTACAAACTCAAAATACGTTGTACTCCCAGAAATTAGGTATTTTTTTGGATTTCATTTTTAATACTCGATGCAGGTTCTATATTCAAAGAGAAACGATTAGGAAGGAATCCGGGTCTTGATAGATTTATGCACGCATCTGGCAAGAATTACTAAACACATTTAGTTTTTTTTTTCTAAGTAATAGACACTTGGTCCTTATCTTTATATTAGTAAACCAGTTAAACTGTATTTAATCTAAACTAGTGGCCCGCTCCGGCTTCGCTCGGGTCTTTAACAAAACTTTTAGTAAGGATCCCTAATTTTTGTGAAAAAAAAAACCTATGTCACTCGGATATAGTGTAGCTTCCATCCAGTGAAAAATTTTTTCAAATCGGTTCAGTAGTTTCGGGCCTATTCAATACAAACAAACAGAAAAATCTTTCCTCTTTATTTTATTTATATCTTCTGCTCGTCCATCCATCTAAGCAATAAAAAAAAACTATATAATGATATGAAATGACGAAGAAAATTATATTTGAACAAAACAATACATGTTTTTTATTTCATTCATAATTAATTATCCTTAAAACTAAAATAAATAGTAGCATAAATTTATTTATTTTCTACAATTTTTTATCGAGTCGCACGTTAAAAATAGAATTTTTTTTTCTTCGAAAAAGTACTTCTATAATGGTAATTTATATTTTATAAACATTATACGTGTGTATTTATAAAGTTACTTATTTACTTAAACGCTAGTATTTATAATACTATTTACATTTTATGAAATAAACAAAATAATAGGAACAACAATTAAAATGAGTAAAATAAATTATATATTACAATAATGAAAATGAAATACTATATATTTTTTAAAATGCTTAGTGAATAATTTCATAGTAATGTGGTGGGAAATAGCTTAAGCGAAAGAAAATTTACCATTGATCAGAAATGTGTAACATTAAATAAATCAATTTACACTTCTGTTATAATTATTTAATAAATAAATAAAATAAATTTAATCATTATTCAAATAAATATTAATTAAATTAATGTAATTTTAATTTCTTAATAACGAGACAATAAGTTACTTAGAAACCTATTAATAAATAAATTACTAAATAAGAACCAATAAATTATTAATAGGAATATCTATTCTCTTTTATAAGCGGAATAGGCCAACTCAGCCGCGTCATAGGCTCGCCTATCCCAGCCTCCGCCGCCTCCGCCCGAGGACCAGCCGTGGCTTTCGTTTCCCCCACCACCGCCCCCTTCTGGGACATGAGTTTCTTAAGCACCATAATACCGGCGAGCAGTAATGCGATCTGGAATTAAAATGATTACATTTCAAAAATGCTGTTACTGGTGGTAGGACCTCTTGTGAGACCGCGCGGGTAGGTATCACCACCCTGCCTATTTCTGCCGTGAAGCAATAATGCGTTTCGGTCTGAAGGGCGGGGCAGCCGTTGTAACTATTCTGAGACCTTAGAAATTATATCTAAAGGTAGGTGGCGACATTTACGTTGTAGATGTCTATGGACTCCGATGACCACTTAACACTGGGCGGGCCGTCAGCTCGTCCACCAACCAAAGCAATAAAAGAAAAAAAATACAGCATAAGATAGCTTTATGTAAATGACTTTTTACTTCGTTTAAAGAGTATGCGACTTCAAGACTTCAACCCATAAGCTACTATTTAAGCTCGGTATAGTCAGGAGTTGTTAGTAGATCTAGGTATGTGGTACCCATAACACAGGAGAAAATCTCAGCTTAAGACTTGATAAGTTGCCATCAAGTTGCAACGTTTCTTTATTGAATTTACAAAAAATGCACTACGTAAGCCCTCAACAAAAGTCTGTATACACACATCATATAAAAGATGATGTTTTTTTTAATGTTTAGATGGGTGGACGATCTCACAGCCCACCTGGTTGTTAAGTGGCTACTGGAGCTCATAGATATCTACAACGTAAATGCGCCACCCACCTTGCGATATAAGTGCTAAAGTCTCAGTATAGTTACAACGCCTGCCCCACCCTTCAAACCGAAACGCATCACTGCTTCACGGTAGAAATAGGCAAGGTGGTGGTGCCTACCCGTGTGGACTCACAAGAGGTCGTACCACCAGTAGACATGTGTATATGTGTGTGTCTCTATAGGCTCCGAAGCAGCCGAACCGATTTCGAGAGGATTTTCATAAAACCTCCAGATTTGGTTAGCGGCTAATCCCCTGAAGATTGGTAGCGATCGGATTAAGATCAGATCAGAGGTCAGCCAGGTTTGCGGGCCGGCTTTGGCTAGTAAAGCTACATGCAGGAAGATATACAATAATTTATAATTAACACGATCAATGACCCCGTCAGTTTCCAAGGTAACATTGCAAATTAGTTCGATCAAACAAAAGCATGCTTAAAAGGAAAATTGATGAGGAAAACATTTTGACCTTCACGACTTAGATAAATAATGAGGTATATAGGAACGCTCTGTTTGACGAAGTGCGTAGTTTATTTGATAAGGAAATGGAAAGAGCAGAAAAATTAGGTGAATTTAATTGTTTTAGAATAGGTCTTTTTGAGATGGCTAGAGGATGCTTCATGTAGAATCATGCTACTTATGTTATTACATGCATTAGGTAACAGGATTACGGAATGTCGCCATCCACCAGGTGTCAAGGTGACATTCACTTTGTGATTATGAAGGAAGGTTTAGTGGTGGCCGGAGGCTTTCCAGTTTTACCAGGTGCGCGAATACGGGCTCAGTGAGGAGGGGTGAGATTTATTACCAGCTGCCTGAGCACTTCTAAACGAGACGTAATAGTTCAAGAGCTTCTTCGTGAAGGCATCTAGTACCGGATTGGAATCATTGAGAGGATTTGGCGACTCGGAAACTCTTTTTTTTCCTACCTATGCTGATAGCCTTGAGAGGTTATTTCAGCTTCGCCTTGACGTGTAGGTGAGCTCACGGGGCTCAAACCGGGAGTGTTGCTAACACTGACCCTACCAAGAGCAGTGCTTCGCAGAATCTATACCGGATCGGAAACGCGACTCACTAAGAAGATCCGGCGAGAAACTCAGTGGGCTGTGTCTATGGGTTAATTATCTCGTCAAGCCCTCGAGAAACTCAGTGGGCTGTGTCTATGGGTTAATTATCTCGTCAAGCCCTTCGTCGCAAGCATCGGGTTTGGCGAGGACGGTGACTGGTGCTTGAGGTACTTTAAAGCACCGTTAATGGATCGGGAGGATCCGCAATGACGTGCTTTGGGCGACTTCGACGGTTTACCATTCGGTCCACAGGATTGGAAACTCTGCAGGAATTCCGAATATTGCTTGGAGATTGTATATATGCAAACTCTTCTTAAAAATTCGCTAGCAAGATCCAGGTAACTCTAAAATAAATTGTGTTCTGTGACTGCTACCACCACAACGAAATCGCGGAAACAGTAAAATGATGTAACATGAACTTCAAAAAGCTTTTAGAACGAAGTTCCTTATGGGACGATGCGGAGGGTTACCCTAACCGGAAAAAAACGTCCGTAACGTAAGATTTTTATTAGTAATGCACACAGTGTACGACTTAACTTTGTAATAACGTACAAAAAATAACATATTTTTTAATCATTCATTGACCACGATCTCAGAGCGTTCGTTTGCGCAATACACTAACTCTTATGCAAACAACCGTGAATGAAGTGTACCACAATAAGTTCGCACGTTACCGAATGACCGTGGGTTGTTTCAAAACCTCCAGTTGTATTTTCTATAAACCTCGGATAGAACTTAAAATTAATATTTTTATAATAAGGAATTTCGTTCCTATCCGGTGTCCCACGACACCACACATCTTTTTAATCTATTTTTCTAAAGAACATCGAACGTAGCTTAAACAACAAGTTGTCACGTACCGTCGCCGTGGTCTCGAAGGTCGGTCCGTTAGCGCCCAACGACAATTTCGATAGTAAAGTCGAATATCACAATCATTTTAAGTAAATCTCATACGGTTCGGAATGAGACAAACCGCACGAGATTTACTTGAAACAACGGTAATGCATTACTGGAATGGAATTTTGTACAGTTTGGTACGTTAATTAACGGGTAGATAAATTAGAACATTATAGATAAACGTTAAAAACCTATTTTAATATCATCTCATCCGGAGATCACAAACATTTTAAGCGGTAACAGTTAAACTTTTTTTTTTTTAATTCTCTGTCCTAATACTTTTTTAATCTATCTGACGTCTGACATTGTCAGAGTCAGTGGTTTGTCGAACGGAATACAAAAGATATCAACAAAAGAACGACTCGACTAGTTCGTGATTAGGAATACACTGTACGGAGACCGCGTCCGTTGTCATGACGTCAGTGGAAGTTTTCGGGTTGCAAGAACAAATTTAATTTGCCACAATTTAATTTTAAAATAATTAATCCATACTGCATATCTTATACCTTTAAACGAGCAATTCTTGTATATATATATAATCTGAATCTCGGAAACGGCTCCAACGATTTTCATAAAATTTAGTATACAGAGGATTTCGGGGGCGACAAATCGATCTAGCTACGATTTATTTTCAGGAAATGTTGTTTTATTCGTGTTTTCAATAATCAACTCTACCCGACATCTATTGGGGAATAATAATATCATTTTTCTTAATTGAGGGCAACCACGGAATAGATTATTTATCTATTCCGTGAGGGCAACTAACCGCTTTAAAGGCACAACAAGATGGCGTTATCAAATAAAAAAAAAGTGTGTGTGTCCGCTCCGACGCACGACTGGAGTTTACTGGATATAAAAAATTAAACGAAACAATACGAGAAATAGTTCTATATTACGACAACACGATACACTACAGATTATTAACAAATTAACGAGACACAAAACAAACGACTAACAAATATATGAAAATACAATAATGAGAGAAACGCGCGATCAGTACGAGGCTTTGTGGCGGACTGCCGGCGCAGCAGCCCGGCGTCACCTGCGATAACGCGGCCGCGCGTTGGCTCCTGATTGGCGCGCGCACGCATCACGCAATCAGGAGCCAATCAGGCGCATAACGCATTTCGTGTGACATGCTAGTACGATTTTGGTCCCCATAATTTTCATACCCCGGGCCTATATATGTAAATCGATTCTAAAGGAGTAAACTCCAAAAAAAAAACGAACACGGCTCGGTCATCATCTATTATTATTATTAAGATAACCGTACGTTAGAGAGAGAGAGAGAACATACTTTATTGCACACCAAAACACAATTAACATTAGAACGCAGTCAACAAGCAGATGCGTTTGTACAATAGACGATCTTATCGCTAAAAGCGATCTCTTCCGGACAACCGTTTAATTACCCGAAATTCTGGACAGATAAAGATACCGCAGGTATTTTGCGGTGTACTATTAACAACACATTATTAATTACGTTACGTTATTAAATACGTTAATTGTTTGTCCTGCTTTTATGTCAAGAGGAAGCAACGGATTGATATGATTTTTTTCAAACTGATATAATTGGGTCAGAAGAGTGACACGGAGAGAGAAAAAGAGAGACATAGCCTCTTTTTATTTCGAAAATACATGTCGTTCTCACGGGATACTACACTCTCACTTTTCCTTGAATACGCAGGCGAAATCGCGGACAAACAGCTACTCTTCTTTATGTTATAACATGTATGTTATAAGATTTTTATATCTGCCCTGCTTGTAACTTTGTTATACCTTTTTATACACATCATAAAATCTATATATATAAAAATGAATTGCTGTTCGTTAGTCTCGCTAAAACTCGAGAACCGATTTGGCTAATTTTGGTCTTGAATTATTTGTGGAAGTCCAGTTTAAAAGGTAGAGAGAAATATGAAGATGCTCGGAATTAAATAAAAATAACAATTTTGTTTTCCCTTTGATGTGTCCCCCCGTTGGACGGATTCCTTTTCTTTTTTTTAAGTTTAGTTTATACAAAAGTTTAGGTCTTTTATTTATAGATTGAGGCACTACGAAGTCTGCCGGGTCAGCTAGTCAATAATAAAGAGCATAAAAATATTCGGCTGAATCAAGGTAGCGAGGGAGATAAGTACATAACTACGCAGGTAAGTGCCGGGTGGATTATATTATTTAGCTGCAGAATTTGATTTCAGACACTGTAAAATCATATTTTACGGTGTCGTGTCGATTTTGAAAATCACAATCCTTCAGTCACATGTTCTAGGATTACGGACTTATCCGAGTCTAGACGGATCGGTACCACTGTTTCACCCATTTCTACTTTCGCAAATCATGCGGTCCGTATTAGGTAGGTAGGTTTGGTAGGCAGCGGCTTGGCTCTG